TAATATCTGTTTCAGATAAGTAGGTTAGTGTCGGGTAAAGATTCGTTAGGTTAAGGGTTAAGTTTGGTTGATATAGGTAAACATTTGTATTTTCTTTGCCCACTTCCGTAAACAAGGTCGCATCCTTGGTATAACCGATGCACCCCGGGGTAATTCTTAATATTCCTACCCCTTGTATTTCGGTTTTTTGGTTCACTTGGTTCGGACAGACAATTCGGACTGTATCTTGTTGGTTGGCTGAGTATATCCATGACCCATCCGTTGATATATAATTCCAACTGGTAATTCGTTGTATTCTCAGAACTATGTCACAATGGTATAGTTCATGACTGGATAGTTGTAGTAGCAGCCCTAGTTCGCATTTACTATTTAGATTAGCATCTAAAACAGGTCCTCCTACCGGACATATAAAGGTATAGTGTGTTCGCGCACAATTTTGCAATGAATGGTGGTCCATCTGTATATACTGTTTTTGATCCGAACTTAATGCCAAATACGGGTATTCATGTCTAATATATGCAGATTTTCCAGTTGAGCTTGGTGATTGTGGTATCAATACTGAGTGCAGACGGTATAGATTATAGTAATTTCTATCAACTAGAGGTAAATGATTGACAATATATGTCTTCTTTTCTCGTTGAATCGCGTCAATGCTGGAAATTTTAATAATTTCTTCAATTCGGAGGTGTTTAGTTGGAATTGGGAAATTGAGGTCCGTTACCATGAATTTTTTATCATTTGCTATTTGGTGCAACATGTTAGAATCTATAAAGTCCGGATGTATTTTGCCCCTTTTCAACGCATGAATAATTTCAAGAAGTTTTTCCGAGCTTTTGATAGAATGATCTAATTTTGCCTCTAGCATTCTTCCAAGTGAATGTACTGAAAACGTGTATTCCAGTCGGGCATTTTCATTTTCTAATTTCCTGAATTTTTGTCGCATTAGGAGGTTTAAATTATAAATTCTGTCCCCCGTGGACGTCCATCATTTTATATAGTTTATTCATTCCTGTGGTAATTAGATGGGTCCTATCATTAAAGAGTTTAATGATATCTTTTTGGTCTGCATATAATTGATTTATGTTGGCTTCTATTTTATCAGTTTCGTCAATGTTCACTAATCCAAATAAACTATGACTCGGTCTTCCTATGCCTCCAAAAGGTACCAGTCTTTTCGGCCTGATATTTTTAGGTCCTTGGACATCGGGTAGCTGAATATGTCCCATGTTTTCAATAGCTCTGTAACGGTCCTATTTATGAGCTATTTATTAAATGACTGCAACTAGTCTAACGTATTTATCTGTTTAGTCAAAACAATACTTTAAGCGGCGCTACCTCACTGTTTACGAGACTGTATACAAATAAGAGTCAAATCAAAATAAACAGCGTGACGTCACAAAATAATACACATAGATATAATGATTTATGATATTGAGAAAAATATGTTAATTATAGATAATTTGAATATAACAAAGTATCGATTATATAGATTTTAACATGTAGATTCATAATATCTCATTCAATTATAAATTAATAATGAATATCAATATGCAAAGTTGATTTATTTATTAACATATGAAATATTAGAAAAATATAAATAATTTATATGCAAAATGAATAAGCATAGAACAAAAGAAAAACATGAAACAGCTTTTAATAACGTGAAAAAAATATTTATTGATACAATCACTTTAAAATTTCCTGATCCTAATAAACCTTACATATTAACTACTGATGCCAGTTATCATACTATAGCCGCTGCTTTGTCATAATTAAATAATGAAGGTGATGAAGAAGTTATAACATTTATATCTAGAACTCTAAAAGGAGCAGAATTAAATTATTTTACTACTGAAAAAGAATTATTAGCTGTAGCTTGGTCATGTTTAAAATTAGAAACGTATCTAAGAGGTGCGAAAGAAATAATTATTCGTACTGATCACGAAGCGTTGAAATTTTTAATGACTTGTAAATTTACAAATGCGAGATTAGTGAGGTGGTGCTTGTTTCTTCAAGACTACAACATTACGTATGAGTATTTACCAGGAAATAAGAATAAAGCCGCCGATTTTCTATCTAGACATATTACAGACTGCAGTAATAACTATACAGATGAAATTCAGATTGCTATGTTGATGAAAGAACCTTCACGAAATTTGATGAAATACTTCAAGAATATGGAGTCATTACAACAAAATGATGGTTTTATACAAAATTTAAGAAATAAAGAAAATTTCAATCATAGATATATAGTTTATAACAATTTAGTATATAAAAAAGATAAAATTAACAATAAATTATTACTACCAGAAATAATTGTTCAAGAATTGGTCCAAGAAATACATGAAGTATATGATCATATTGGAAAAAGAAAAATTACAAAGATGTTACAGGAAAATTTTTATATCTACAAACTTCGTAAAAAAGTAACTGTAACAATAAATCGTTGCGATTTATGTCAGCACACGAAGTATTACACAAAACAGACATTACCTGTAAATCCATACCAATTTTAGCTACTAGAAGATTTATCTTCACTCCAAACAAATTTACAATATATGTAAATATTGGAGAAAATGTGCTAATAATTTTGAGACAAGGAGGGATAAAATCAACTTGGATGGTTATCCGATGTAAAGAACTTTATCTTCCTCCCTCAATATAAATTTTAAAACACATATATAATAAAAAGCTCATAAGGAACTCATTCATGAGACTTCTTATCAGAAATCATTCAGTCTCAAGAGGGGGCTATGTAACGGTCCTATTTATGAGCTATTTATTAAATGACTGCAACTAGTCTAACGTATTTATCTGTTTAGTCAAAACAATACTTTAAGCGGCGCTACCTCACTGTTTACGAGACTGTATACAAATAAGAGTCAACCCTGCTATAAAAGTTCCATTGAAAACCATTGAAGAATTTCTGAATGGTTTTCAATCTTCGATCTGAACACTCCAAATGACCATTGAATATGATTCCTCATCCAACAAGAAATGTCAAGATATTAAATACTATTGGTTCCAATAATATAGATTACTATTGATTCCTAATCGAGATTAATCATTATCAATAGAAAAATATACTATTAAAGTAATGGTTTTCAATAGGATTCAATGAAATTTCTCATGTATGTTACCCAATCGATTTCAATGGTAAAATTCGTGGTCAAATCGAAGATTTGAAACCATTCGAATGCGATAATCAATTTGATTGAATTGATATCAATGGTTTGTTATTGCAACATTCAAGTCTCGTATCGTTGAATAATTTTCAATAGTTTTGAATATGAAAGTCCTAACATTTCAATAATATGCAATAGAAAATATCAATCTAATTGAATGGGTATTAATGGTCTTTTATCGCATGATCAACTTTTTTTCTGACGTTATAATATCCAAAGCATAAGATACGATTCTTCAATTATAGTATCGAACAACTATTCAAATTTATAAAAAATCATTCAATTATGGAAATTTTTTCTTTCATCATCTAATGAAAAATTATAGAATAAAATTATATTTGATAAGTTTGTAGAATGAAGGATTATTCAAAACTATACAAACAACTTCTCAATAGAATACGATTGAGTTTTACTTGCATTTACCAATCATTAGATTTCATTAAAAAATATTCAATTGAAAATATTTGAAATTTTTTTGTTTGCCTTTCATAAGAAATTATAGAATACTATACCTCATTGAATGCGATTGGGTTATTTTTATATTGACCAATCATTAAGATTAAAAAAAAAACTATTAAATGAAATATTGCTAAAGTTACAGTATTGCTTTTGCTCATATTGGCATATATGGAAAACCATTCTATAAAATATTATTGACCAACCGTGTAATTGGATAAAAATTAATATCCATATAATATGATTCAATAAAATATGATTGGACAATTATTGTATCGAAAAATTATTAAAATTCATAGAAAGATATACAATAAAATATCATTGATTAATTATTTTATTGAACTGTGATTGATATTCATTCAATGCAATTGGATAGATTATCATTGAAACCATTCCTATACAAAGTATTATTCAGAAAGATTGAATTCTATTAAATTTAATGGTAAGGTTTACTATTAGTTATGCTTACCATGAAGTATTATTGAAAATCATTCAGTTTCAATCGTCATCGGAACATTGAACCATTCAGTTCATTGATTACCATTGAATATGAATGATCCCGAATAGGAATGAATGGAACTTTTTTAGCAGGGTATTGAATGGGTGGAAAAAAATTTTTTTTTGTGGTTTCTCATCTTTTTAGCGTACCGACTGTGAGAAAAAAAAATTGAAAAAAACCGAAAAAAAAAATTTTTCGAAAAACCGAAAAAAAAATTATTGCAGTATTCTACGTGAAAAAACAAACATTTTTTCTCCTATAAATTTTTTTCGATTGTTACAATTTGACGGAGATAAAAAATGTTGAAAAAAACTGTCACTTCCAGGAAAAAATGCCCGTGCGCGTGTCATATTTGACGAAAATAAATGTTTGATGAGTGATTCAGATAGGGCTTGGTAATAGCTAAAAAATGGTGTACTTCAAATTTTCGTACGATTTTTTTTCCAAAATTGGCTAATTGTTAAAAATAATTAAAAAATTTCAGAATTTTCAATTTTGCATAATTGTTGCAAAATTTAAAAAAACAATCGATGGCAACCGTGAGTCATATCATTTGAAAGCTCTCCGAAAGACCTTTCAAACGCACCCACGCGCGTCTCTGTACGTTAATTTCTACCAGAGATATAAAACTTTGAAGTTAGACTGATTTTGCCCGTGGGGGGGTAAAAGTGGCTGACCGGCACTGTATTTTATTTATTTTAAGTATTAAAATAATAACGCACAAACAAATAAAACACAATATTTGAATTTAATTGATAAATTGCTAATCTATGAAAATAATTATTTTATTGATTTTCTAAAATTTTTTATATTCCTGTGCTAACTTTTAAGATCTTTCTAATCAGTCCAATCTACAAAAGCATATTAGAACATATAAAAAAATATGTAGAAATTTAAACGTTAAATTGATTTGATTCGATACCGAATCTATTTTCTTTTGCTGTCTATTATTTTCTTCGTAATAAAACGAAAGGTCATTCCAAATATGGTACAACAATACCAATCCCCTGTCCGGGTTTATAAATACCCTTTTGCTCTTGTTATGATGGTAAGTTGTATTTGGGTACTATTGAATGTTGTTAAAAATAATTGCTATCAATCTTTATCAAGATACTTCATATTTAGAACATAAGTTGCTATTTTTACTTTTTCAACAACTGAGTTTGAAAATATTATTGATCAATCTATGTTTTTCATTTGTTTTATTAATTAAATTAATTTATTGTCTTGATTTATTTTATCAATTAGTTTTTTGTATATCCAAACAATTTTATCGGTTTTCCATTTATAGTTTTTTGTAACAAATAAAACTAATAATAACATTTTCTTTATTTAATTTTAATGTCTACTTTTTTTAATGTGCCTTTTTAATGGTTATTTATAAATAAAACTTGAAGATTGTCTAATAGTCTAAAAGGTGAAGATTCTTCATATTATTGGAAATTAGTTTCTGCAATAAAGGTCATATAATGTAAATTCAATAATTAAAAACCTGCAGGTAACATTTCTTAAAATAGTAAAAATTATAAAATTATTTTTTAATAATTTCAACAGAAAATTTCTAATTACTTCTTATAAATAGTTCATATTAATTATTGGTAGGCTTATGAAAGAAGATTTCCAACATGTCCACAAATCCCAGTTTTTGTTGGTTGTGAAGTGACTCTGGATAAAGAAAGTGAAGATAAGGCCATCCGAACAACAGAAAGAAGATGTAAACTAAATGTAGATGCTCCATATATCTTAAAGAAGGTATTTACATGATAATTGAAATGAATTTTTTATTTTAATTTTTTATTAAATTACACATATTTACAAGATAATCATTTTTAATATGTGTGGTACATTACTTTTTACAGATAATTGGTGTTGATTTTATTTATTTTATACAAAGAAATGTCCTTGATCGTCGAAATAATGTTTTAGAAATTGAGGCATACAATGAAAGTTTTTCTACAAGAGTGACAGTTTTGGAAAAATGTAAATACTTTGTGAGTGTCCTGAATTTTCAACTTTAACCGAATGACTACATTTTTATGAATTTCATATTGAGTAATTTTGTTAGGTTCATCCTGAAAATTCAGATTGGACTTGCTTTGAGCAAGTAGCTAGTTTAGACATAAAGAATTTTTTTGGATTTGAAAACTCAATGGAAAAACTGGCAATGAAACAGTATGCACAAAATATTGCCAAGGTATATTTTAATTACCATGAAAAGTTATAATTTGATAATAAAGTTAATGTTTTATATTTTTAATATTTTTAGGGTAAAGAAATAATTGAATATTTTATAAATCAGTTAAAGGAAGAAGGCATATCATATGTTGAACCTTGGAAAGATCTATTGGAAGATAAGAATCCTCTGGGAACCAAGTATATACGCTTATTATTCCTGCTAATAATAGCCCTAAGAAATAATTTTCTAAAGATAGTACTTTAGTGAAGTTGAGGTTAGGAAATATGATTTAAAAGTAATAATAATAGTAAACTGAAAATTCAAGCTTGTTAATGTTTTGTTATATGTATACTTTATAAAAATAATTGAAAAATAATCAATGCCACCTGGGCTTTAGGTTGTTTAGATCAGAATTGATCAAAAGGTATATTATATATTTCTATAGAAAAATAGATAATGCTAAGAAAATGATGACTTTTTACAGTATTATTTTGAGGTGACTTTATATACAAATTATTGTCAAAAAATCCATTTCTTTTTTAAATTTATACAAAGGTTTTTGACTTTTCTAGAATCTAGAAATATTTATCATTATTAGTTTATTTAAAAAAAGATGTTTTTTAAGAGAGTTTCCTATTCCCAAGGCTCTCAACTAAGGTTCCCGCTTATTAAAAAAGCGATTGTTGTATTTGATTCTCCCGTATGAAGAGAATTGATGATATATTAAAGCAAAAAAATTTGGAGATCTTAATGAAATCCTTAGATGGTTAATTTTCTTATAGTCTTTGTCGAAATTCAATATGTACTTTCATTTGTCCGAAAAAAATTATAACCTCTAAATCTTTAAAATGTGTAAATTCAAACGACAGAACTGTGTTACTAATTTTCTAAAATCCAATATATATTGATGCTAAATTATTATAAACATTTCAAGAAGGTGTATATCATTTTTTAAGTTTGAACATTTATTAGAAAAATTTCTAGGGTCGAATTAGTGAATTGGCGTTGCGCCGCCGCACCAATTTTTATTAACATTTTCGTTAACAACGTTAGACCCACATACCTAACTATTATTTTTAAAACGGTGGTCGTTTTATAATTTCAAAAGTATCATTTTGACAAAGTTTTGTATATTTCTGATTTTTGAATATATTTTATTTTTACATAAACGAAATGAAAATTTTGCTTCTTATGGGAAAATACATTGGAAATAATATTCTTTTATTTATTATCTAACAAATAAGGTAGATCCAACGATCAGAATTTCACGAAACTTTGACAACATGAAGCTTATGGAATTTTGAAGCTATTACCATGTTAAAAAGAATAGGTATGTACGTTGATCAAGTGTTATTAACGAAAATGTTAATAAAATCGATGTCGCGGTTCAACGCCAGTTCATTAATTCGATACTAGAATTTTTTTTATAAATATTAAAAAATGATATACACATTCTTTGAATGTTTGTAAATAATGTAACTTTAATATATATTAGGTTTTGGACAATTCGTAACACAGTTTTCTCGTTTGAAATTACGCATTTTAAAAATTTGGAGGTATAATTTTTTCAAAATAAACAAAAGTACAAGTTTATTTCTGGCAAAGACTATAAAGAACTTGACTATCTAAGGAATGTCTCCAAATTTTTCTACTTCAAAATATGAACAATTTTCTTCATACTAACGAGTCGAAACAACAATCATTTTTGCAATACGCGGAAGCCTTAGTTAAGAATTTTAGGAGTAGGGAACTCCCTTGAAGACTTAATTTCACGTCATAAATTGGAAGGATTTTAGAGGTCATTTTTCAATAAAATGATTTCATTTAGATAGCAGTAAAATTTATTTATTAATAAATAACTTATTTTAATTTAAACTATTTTACATTTAAATGTCTATTACGATAATATTCTTTTTAATTATTTTCGATGTAGAATATACTATTTAATTAATAAAACGATAAAAATAAAAAAATCTAACTTAACCGAGGTTAAACCCAGGATCTTCGAATTACTCGACCTATATTTTATCAATTTATCTTAATTGTTTCAAATAAAACACACTTTCAACGAATTTTATTAAGGATCTCTTATTAATTAAAAAAAATCCTATCTCCGCACCGATTATGACTTACAAATACACATTATGCTACAAAAATTTATATAATTTACACAATCAAAAAGACTATTGGAATTTTCTAAATGACGCTGTTCAAGGGAGTAATTTTAATAAAGTATAAGACTTAACTAATTTTGTGCAAATAAAAAAAAATGGTTTTAAACAATAATACAATTTGTTTAAATCATTACATAATTGAATATCGTCATTTATTACATGACCGTAGTTTTTTTAAGTGGGTAAGTTTTTGTATTATAATATGTATTTAGGTATCATAGTTGCTGCAGTGATTGCATTTTTCTTATTATTATTATTAATAAAATTCGTATAAAGTGTATCTTATTAGATTTGCGTTTTATTTAATAATTAACATTGTGTGTTTGTGTGTGTGCGTGCGTGTGTGTGTGTGTGTCATGATCACCGACTGCATGAGCATTGGCATGACAACGTCTATCTCAGTTTTCTGACAAATATGTGATTTACATATTATTATAACTAATGATTTGAAGAGGCTGGAAGCCATACCAGCGAAACTTTGTCGCGATTTGAAGATTGTTTGAGTTTTTCTCCTGGTCTTACTCTTCCATATTTGATTTATTAGTTAATTTTTCCATAAAAGATAAAGTCCTAAAATTGCAACATATGGTATAACAATGGTATTTATCGTTACAATTGGCAATAGCTAAGCGGTGAAGTACAGATCCAGTAATCCGAATGTTCTGGGTTCGATCCTCCGTCAAATAGAATGTTTTCTTGTTTTTATTCTTTTATTAATTATATAGCATATTTTATAAAATCTAAAGGATATTTTTTGTAACAAACTGTAAAACAGTTATATATCAACAAATAAACTTTAACATTTTCTAAATGATGTCATTCTTAGAAGAAATTAATGTTCTTTCTTCAAAAAAAAGCTGAACGGCAGAAAGCATTACAATTTAACGCGTTTAGGTCTAAAACACCATTCGTGAATCACAGTCTTTAGCACATCATATCTGATTCTGTAGGTGTTCAAAAAAATTGAGAAGGACGTATTTTGAAAGCTTGAAGCAAATTCTTTGTGATGGCAGACTTCAAATTAATCAAAATCATAATTATCTATGAAAAAATTACGTTTAAACAAAAAAAAATAGAAATTTTCAGCTATCTTTTTTTTAAATTTCAATTTCGAAACCTGTTATGTTGGGAACTGACCTAGAACTTTTTGACCAGTGGAATAAATATTTGACCTTTAAGAATCCGTGATTCAAAATGATGTCAAGACCGCTCAATTTCTCCAAATAAATTCTCAAAGGTCAAACATTTATTCCACCGGTTAAAAAGGTTCTAGATCGGTTCCTAATATGAAAGGCTTCGAAAATTAGATTTAAAAAAAAGATGGCTGAAAATTCCTATTTTTTTTTTGTTTAAACGTAATTTTTTCATAAATAATTATGATTTTTATTAATTTGGAGTCTACCATCACAAAGGGCTTATTTCAAGTTTTCAAAATATATCCTTTTTAATTTTTTTGAATCTCTATAGAATTAGATATAACGCTCTAAAGACTGTGATTCACGAATGGCGTTTTGAGCCTAAACGGGTTAAGATACGAAACCACCTCAAAAGACATCATAAAATTATGCCAATAAAAGATTATTTATTGGTAATTATTATATTCGATAGGGTATAATAAGAAAGAAATTTTTTCAATGAAATATTAAATATTTTACATCCTGCTTAATTGCGTTCATTTGTTTTATATAAAATCTGTTTTTTCTTAGTTTTCATTTTTGTTACCGAGTATAGTTCGATAAAGACTTTCGAAATATAACGGTTTTACCATTTTTTCAAATTTCATCGACGATTTATTTTAAAGTTTATAAGCATGAATAGAAATACCAGTTTCTTCAATATTTTACTAATAAAATAATATATTAATTTTTTTTGACATGTAATTAACGATTCAAAAATGTGATAAAGTTATGTGCATAGTCTATCTAAAAATTATTATTTAGATCTAAAAAATGTACAATATGTTTAACAACTTTATTAATCAATTAAAAATTTAAATTAAAATAATTTTATTTTGAATATAAAGTCACTTTACAGTTAAATTTATAATTATGTTTTTTTGAGATTTGTTTTGGTAGTTTAGTGTTATTGATGGTAAATTTGTCAAGGATTTAAAAAAAAATGACAATACTGATAGCGATTTGATTGATCATTTTATTGACTATGTCTTAAAAATATATGGGCAATCCATTTCAAATTTTGCAAAGGTACAATCAATTCATAATTAAAATTTGCTGAAAGTCTTAGTCCATCGATAGTATGAGTTTACTAAAGTACTATCTTGATCTCAGCTGCATATCTTCATATATTTTGAAAATTAAATTTGGACAGATTTGAAAAAAAATTAAAAATGACTGACTACTGTCATACAAATTAAAATTTGATATTTGTATTGAGCAACTAAAAGTACTAAATTGAGTTAGAAAAATTGATCATTTTATTATAACAATATAAGAAGGAATCAAAGTCTTCAAATAAAATAGTAATTTTTTGTGTACATTGACATCTTAAATTTCTCATTTAAATGATATCCATTTATATCATTCAATACATTAGCTGTTTGTTTAACTCATCTTGGGCCAACATTTTTCTAAATAATAATTATTGCATAAGAATTTTTCTCCTTGTTGGTAATTTGAAAGAAAAGTCATGTAGCATTTCATTAGTAAAATACATGAAGATAATTAGCTTTCGTCACATAAATCAATAATTTACTTGGGCATCTATTTTAATTATTTTATTATGTTAACTGTTGATGGAAAGTAAGTATTTTGTTTTCATGATGAATATATAATTTTAAAGATCTGATGTAAAACTGGAAAATTTAATTGAAAAACTTTAAAATATAGACTTTTTTTACATTCTGATAACCGTAACGATGCAAGACGTGATATATCTTAATAAATATTTCGTAATGAATGCCACGGGTATTAATAACGTATATATTTTTATTTTTGTAACGGTAACTTAAAAGATAAAATCAGTGGATAATATTAAATAATTTCGGATTCATCAAAGTGAATATTATTTAAGTGATCTTAAAATTGGCAAATTTAACATTTTCAATAAGGTTACTTATATTTTTGTTTTAGATGCTTTGAAAAAATAATAATTAGTTTGAAGAAATCTAAAATAAGACGCGTAAAATGAAAAAAAAGTTATAATTAGAGATGCATAAAAAACTAAAATCACGATAATCGCCATGTTATATATTTGTTTGTAAAATAATCCTGCAAAGTTATTTTTATAACATCGCAACCTTTATATGTCCATTTTTGTTTAAGGTAAAATGTTGCCGAAACATTATCGAAACAATTACTTGAATGCTTTGTTATCAAAATAACATTTGTGTATTTCTAAAACATTTTGACATTTAATGTTGGGCAATCTTGAATTTTTTTATATCGACCTTAAAGATTTTTACAACATTTCTGCAATATTTTACAAACAGTTGATCCAATGTTATTAAAGCACTACTATTATGTTTTCTACAATTTTTTATATATGGAAGACCTGGGCAAGAGGAACACCCCGATGTTTCTGGGGATGGGTGGTAGTAAATATGAAAATATAGTAGTATATTCCTTATGATATAAGCATACGAATTCAATTTAAGTGTTGAACTTCCAGCGATAACAGCGAGTGGAAGTCACCTTTGTTTATGTTTGTTGACCGGCTTACAACTGTCTACATCTAAAAAAATGTATCGATTTTCCGGTCTAATATTTGAAATACGTACTTTGAAAACAGCTACTGTAGAGCTACTATATTAGTCAGTAGTTAATTATTGTCTAAATTAGTGGTTAATTTTTTTTTAACATTTGTTCGGTTAAAAAAGTGATTTTTTTATATACGAGTACCAGGCAAGACGGACATCCCCTAAAATTAATTTTTTTCTAAATGTTCATTTTTCTTTAATTTTCAATAGTTTTATATGCAATTTCAAAATATAATTTGTTTTTTAGCTTTATTGTTCAAATACAAGATATGTTCAAAAAGTAAGGTGAATTTTTAAATTGGACGGGCTACGTAGATTCGATCATCGATATTTTTTTATTATGTTGGTATACATGTCCCTTACATATGCTCACAGTTTCAGTCAGTTTTTATGTTTACTTTTTTTTGCAAGATAGAAACGTTAGATATGATTTTTGTGCTCGCCGATTTTCTATTGTTGAAAACAATGGATCAAAGAGTTTGCATAAAATTTTGTGTAAAAAATGGAATTAAGTGCTCCAAAACATTTAAAATGTTGACAGTGGCATATAGTGAGTCTACATTAAGTCAAAAAAATGTTTATAAGTGGTATGAGCTCTTTCAAGATGGCCGAGAAGACATTGACGACGAACCTCGCTCTGGACGCCCCAGCACTTCAATAATTGATGAAAGTGTTGAAGAAGTGAAACTAATGGTGTTAAAAAATCTTCGAATCACTATTAGAGAAGTGGCTGAAGACGTCGGCATCTCTGATGGCTCGTGCCATGCAATTTTTTCCGAAGTTTTGAGCACGAAACGTGTAGTAGCAAAATATGTTTGGAAACTGCTTAATTTTGAACAAAAGGATCGTCGAAGAAGCATCGCTGAAGAGCTGTTAAACGACGTAAATGATGATCCTGATATGCTTAAAAAAGTCATAACTGGTAACGAATCATGGGTTTATGGTTAAGACGTCGAAACTAAATCCCAATCGTCCCGATGAGACACCAGAAGAGTCAAGACCGAAAAAAGCACGTCAAGTTCGATCAAATGTCAAGGTTTTGCTCACTGTTTTCTTTGATAATTGTGGCGTAGTACATCAAGAGTTTTACTACGAGGTAGTACGGTCAATAAAGAGTATTACCTTGAAGTTATGCGCCGTCTGCGAGAAGCAAAATGAAAAAACGTCCGGAATTGTGGGAAAATAATTCATGGATTTTGCATCACGATAATGCACCTGCTCACTCATCGTTGCTTGTGTCGAACTTTTTGACCAAAAACAAAACCACAATCATGCATCAGGCACTATATTCACCGGATATAGCCCCCTGCGACTTTTTCCTGTTCCCAAAACTCAAGAAATCCATGAAAGAACCGAGGTTTGGAACGATTGAGGAAATAAAAAAAATCGCTGGAAAAACTCAAGGCTATACCAGAAAGTGCTTACCAGAAGTGCTTCGAGGATTGGAAAAAACGTTGGCACAAGTGTATTATATCTAAGGCGGATTACTTTGAAGGGGACAACATAAATATTGATGAATAAATAAATATTTTTTCATAAAAATAAAAATTTACCTTACTTTTTAAACATACCTCGTATTTCAGAATTTAATTTTAATAAATCTATTTTTTTACTCAATCAAATATTTTTTAGTGTGATAATTACATTCTATTTGAAAATTTGTATGTTTACTTTGTACTAGAAATGAAATAAAATTTTTTTGGCATTTAGAACATTTTTCCGTAGGGTGTCCGCCTTGCCCGACGATTTTTGGAGCACTCAACATTTCATTACATTTCTTATCAACCTATTGTATTAGTTAAAATAATTTTTGAGAGTTATAACTATATGGACTTGTTGGTTTTCTTTGTTAACTTTGTATTACACATTTTATTTGATGGATAGTTTTTTATTTAGAACCTGATTATTTTATTGTTCCTTAAGGTGTTCGTTTTGCCCGGGTCTCATATAGAGCTAGAAATGATTCGTTGTCGTCTTACTGTTTCAAATATTTGATAAATATTTCATAAAATCTTATAGAAAAATTATACAGGGAATTGCTTTACAAAATAAAAGACCTACCTAGTATTATCAATGTCGCAGCAACGTTACTATAACGTTTTTGTAGTCGGTTATAGAAATGTTGTGTTTGTAAGATATTGTTTCGAAAAGTAGTTAATCCGTTAATTTCATTTTTTTCCACTTCACAAAATACATTTTTTTCACTTTACAAAATATATTTTTTTTAGGATTTTTCCAAAAGAAGAGAGAAAAGCAATTATTAAGCATGGTGATATAAGTTCTTCTGACAGTAAGTATATACTGCCGGTCGTATACATATACACATTTTCGTAATACTTCATTTTGTTTGTAAAATTCGAATTAAGTGTTATTATTTTTCTTATGATGTTTTATTTTCATAGATTCATCATTTTCAAAGATAATTTCACTATAATTTTCATTTATTTGCATCTAAAGTATCTCATTTATATTATATGCAATAAACGCTTTCCCTGACAGTTATGACGGTGATTTTACTTGTCGTCGATACCTTCTGGTTGCTCAACGATCTTTGTACCCTAGTTTGACTAGATACAACTGCTGGAAATTGTGCATTAGGTACTTTTGTACTTTTCATGGTCGCTCATACCTTACGGGTCGAGAGGAATTAGCGGAGAATTTGGTTTAAAAATAAAAATGGCTTTTTGATTATATTTATTTTCAGGATCGATTTATTTCTGAAAAGGTTTACGAAATTTAAGTACGACTGGTATTAACAGTAAAAACTGGACTGTTCGAATTTAGAAATACGAAATTTATAAATACGAAACTTAATTTCTATGCGGAACGGAAAGAATTTTTTCGCGTGTTCGCGATTCCTCGGCGGACTCCTCAATTCGAGGCTTTTCGCTACTGACCCCAGTAACCAAGGCACGCGTAGGTCGCTCATTGGTGCGATAAAAAAGTTACTTTTCCTTCACCGCTCTCTACAATGGACAGCATCAACTTACAAACGCTTCCTGTACCTACAAGTCGACCCACTCTGGAACTTTGAAGAACGATAAATTGCATGGCCAGTCGTTTTAGTGAGAATTGTCAAAGAAAACTTTCCAAATCAAGTCGCTTGCAAAGAAAAGACATCTGGAGTCTGACTTATGGATGCGCTGAATTTGCGCTACCGAAACCATGGGAGAGAGAGAAAAAAGATGGTATTTCCCACCTATAAACTATTACAATTCTACAATTCAGTTAGGATATAACACTGACTCTGACTGTATTCTCCCTTATTTAAAATTAGAGGAAAAGTTCTTAGGTTAGAGCTTGGGTGTTTGAATTTCACTGTAACGGCCTTGAGTCTCTTTAGTGCATTGAATTCATGAAAACTCAAGTTTTCGGTAGCGGTGGAGTGTTATTTTGTGAATAGTCTAATACAATACCTTATATGGAGTGTGACGTCATTCGCAACAGTGCAAATATATAAACATGAGAGACGCTGAAGTGCGAAATTTTGTCAAGGCCACACAAAGTTTGAATATCTACATTTTCAAGCGATTTACAATGCTACCGTTAAAATACATTTCCAGCGAAAATTATTAATTGTTTTTACTTTATAAAATTATTGATGCAAAATATGAACAATAATATAATTATCCAGAAAATTAACTAAAATGAAAACTGAGAATTTGAATAGCTGATAACTGATTTTTACATAACCGTTATTAACAATAAATTTTGAATAAAGATGAATATTTAATTAAATAAACATGTATGATGCGTTTTTAAATTATAAACTTATGAAAATTGAAATGAATTCGAACTTCTAATTTAGATGAGCAGTATTCAGCGTAATAAAGAAAGTCAGTTGAACATTTGATCTTAATAAAAGAAGTCGATTGATTTATTAAGAAAGTTTATGTATAAATCAAGTTAAGAACTGAAAATTCAAAAGAGTCAACAAATATGGCCTAATTTGCAATAAAATTATAGGTCATAATTGAAAATTATTTTTTAACATTTTTTAGATTATTGTAGATATTAAAAAAAATACAAAATTCATTGAAAACTTGTATAGTGCGAATTAAAAAATCTGAGTATTGCAAATTTTCGCAATCTTAATGATGCGGCACATTTCCCATCTTCTGTATAAATAGACCCGCCTGCGCCGCAGCAAGTCACTCTTGATAGGACTTAGGCGCAACGCGGGTTGAACCTAGTTAATGATCATTTTCGATCTTAAAATTTAACTCTGTTTGCTGTATTGCTTTGCCATCAATTTCGCCTTACCTAACGATATTAAATGATCATCTCTTGAGAAATATATCCCTCTATGAGACAGCACTTATGAATGACTTTATCGAAACATTAAGTATTTAATTGATTCGTCATCTAGAGAAATTCCTCTGATAATTTTGTTGCATTGAGAGACTTTCATTTATTAATGTAACAGGTCATTAGACAAATTTTCGCAAGGTACATTGAAAATGAATGTTAAGTTTCAAAAAAATTAGAGAGCGACCGAGTATTTATGCTCTAATGCTGTGCGACTTAGCTTCCCACGGTGAGAGTAGAAATACTTGGACATCTTACTGTTATTGATAACACAGCCCGACGTGAAATTTGCTCATTCGATGAGACTAGTTATTTCCGGTAGATTTTGGGTTGCTGAATTCAAATCTCACCTTAGAATTACTCCATCACATCAAGTTTTTTAAATATCCTAACCGAAACGTGCAAAAAATGTTGTTTTTGCTGTTTTTGAGGTACAATAACATTTTGAATAAATTTTTTTTTTTGAAAGCTGAGTACGTTATCTTAGTAGAGAATTCTTATCCTCTAAAACGTTTTTAAGTTTCAGAATATCTTTTTAAGTTTGGAATATCTTTTTTTCTGTCCAAGATATCGCCATTTGAAGTTTACTGTTATAGCAATTCCGTTAATGCCTGAAAATAGAATGAGTCATTTAAAAAATCGATTTAATGTATTTTATTGTTATTTGGATCATCGAATCGGTACTCATTATCAAAACTTTATCATAACCTCAGAATACATTAATAACCTAGCCTAAAAATTCGAAAAAAAACCAACCCTATCCTATTCTATTACGGACCCCCGTAAGATATTTTTTCTACAGATTGTAACGGGGATCTTGCTACCCCGTTAAGGGTGATGTTAAGTGGCTACTCGACTTGCGGGTAACTCGTTATGGGGCCACGCAAGACTCAGCCTAGTGGCTCAGGTATGCCCCTCGAAGGCGACCTTGCCTTCGGCCCGCGGAGAGCGTCGTAGGTCAGGTAGCAGCGGGCGGTGCGAGCCAGCGCGCGCGTAACACGGGAGGGAGGAAGTGCCGAGAGGAACGACGCAGCGGTTAGAAGAAAGAGTGTTTATTAAGACGAAGATAACAAGGGAAGCATACAAGTAGCATTCGCAGTGAGAGAGGCAAGCGAGAAGCAAGCGAGAGAGAGAGTCTTAAGATCGAACGGGCACTTACATGACGGGTTCGCAGTGGCCTCAGGTTTAGTCCTGACACGCGCAGGTGTTCAGCCACGAGGCAGCTCTCTCAGGCTGACTGGCAATTATCTGCCCGCACGCACGCACGCTACACCCTTGGTCCTTATCAGCAAAAACACTAGCTGCGTAGCACAAGGCACTTATTCGTCGCAGTGATAGCCGGGCTTGCTTTTCTCGCGAAGGCGGGCAGCAGATTGTGGCTCACACGCGGAAGGGGTCCCCCTCTCTCGCGCTGGCTATTCGGCAGCGGCGCGTCTCAGCCAATTAGGCAACGTGCGCGACACTCAAGCGTCCACGCTTTCACGCGTACACGCGGATCTCTCTCTCTCTACTCGGTGCTCTCTGACTTACCTCGTGCCGCATCCACAGCTGCGGCAAAGCAAGATTACATAAAAAGAATACATAGGTTATTGATAAATTATGATTAGCTTAAGGGGAGAGAGAGACATAACGAGACTCGGCTCGTTATATTCCCCTTCCCCAGACGCTGGTAGCGAGGTTGGTACCAGCTCGACCCACTCTCTCTCTCGACCAGGGAATAAATATAACCAATATGTGGGAGAATACGTTTTTAATAGGAAGGTAAAACAGATTACAAAATGAGAGTACAATATTTGAGGAAAGGTAGCTTCGAGGCCTTGTCTCTCTTTACAATTTTAAATAAATAAGAGTAAATCTCCAGAAACGAAAAGGGGCGTCGGTGCCGATACAAACAAAAAAAGAACAAAACACAATCCAGCCTCGGGATGCTCCGAAGCGATGGTGAAGAAAGGGGGGAGCTGAAGCGGCGAGGGTGCTGACGGGCCAGTGGGCGAATCGCGCTGTCATTCCTCATTCCCTGGTAGAGCTTCCACGCCATCCTGGGGTCGGTACCGAGCTGCAGGCCTCCGGGTACCTCCCGTTCCGGAACAGCTGGTGCAGGGTGTAGTTGGGGCAGTTGTCCGTTCTTGACACCTGGGTCAGGTTGCATACCCAGCAATACCTCTTATAGCGGAGGTCGACTCTTGGGCCGTCGAATCGGCCGCACGGCTCGGTAGCTCCCTGGTACTGCAGTGCGGTCGGCCCTGGCCCGCGACGGGGCAGCTCCGCCGAAAGCAGCCTTGGGGCGTTTTGACGCTCCTGCTCCACAGCGGACAATTCTGCTCAGAGGGCCTCCAGCTCTTGGAACTTTTGCCGCTGAAGGGCCATTAGGTCTGCCCTGGTTTTGTCGGCCTCTTCGTTAGCCACGAATTGGGCCTCTGCAGCGTCCAGGTAGTCGCGCAGCTTGGTGGCTCTCTTGACCCGCTGCAGGAACTCCTGGGACACCAAGGCTCTAGCACGAGCGTCGGGGTGGTCGGCGAAAGCCAATACCTCCCAGTAGGCTTGCTGTTCCTCTTTAGCAGCCTGCTGGCGAGTCTTGCGCCACTGCCTAGCCCGGCTTTCAAGCTGCGCCCACTGGGCCTCCAAGGGGAGGTCTGAGGGTCCTGAGTCTTTAACCCGCGAAGGCTTGGCGGGCGGCGCCGTAATGGCTGGCAGTGCCGGCTGGTGCCTAGTGGCTTCGATTGGGGCGCCCTCAGGTCGTCCTAACGGGAGCACGTCGGCCGCTGTGCGGGCTGCGGTCTGGGCGGCATCTGAGGCCGGCAATGCTGGGAGGGCAGTAGATGGTGGCTGCGCAGTGATGTGGAGGAGGCTGGTCTCCCCCAGTAGCTCCGTCAGGCTCACTCCCGATGGACTGGGAGGAACGGAGGAGGCGTGTGCCTCCAGGATCTGGCTGATAAGCTGCTGCATCCTGCGCAGCTCTTCCACGGGTACGTCGAGCCTGAC